TGGTTGAACTAATTTACCTTTCCACCAGCACTGTAGGAGGCTTCCCCTTTCCCTATATCCTCTCCACCATTTGTTTTTGTTTGTCTTTTGGATTGTGGCCATCCTTACAGGTGTGAGTTGATATCTTATTGTGGATTTTATTTGCATTTCTCTGATGATTAGTGATGTGGAGCATCTTTTCATGTGCCTGTTGGACATGTGAATTTCTTCTTTGGAGAAGTGTCTGTGTCTGTTCAGCTCCTCTGCCCATTTTTTAATTGGCTTGTTTTTTGTTTGTTGAGGTGTATGAGCTCTTTATATAATTTGGATGTCAACCCCTTATTGGTTATGTCATTTATGAATATATTCACCCATACTGTAGGATGTCCTTTTGTTCTACTGATGGTGTCCTTTGCTGTACAGAAGCTTTTCAGTTTGTTTATAGTCCCACTTGTACATTTTTGCTTTTGTTTCCCTTGCCTGGGGAGATATGTTCATGAAGAAGTTGCCCATGTTTATGTCCAAGAGAATTTTGCCTATTTTTTTTCTAAGAGTTTTATGGTTTCATGACTTACATTCAGGTCTTTGATCCACTTTGAGTTTACTTTCGTGTATAGGGTTAGACAATAATCCAGTTTCATTCTCTTACATGTAGCTGTCCAGTTTTGCCAACACCAGTTGTTGAAGAGGCTGTCATTTCCCCATTGTATGTCCATGGCTCCTTTATCATATATTAATTGACCATATATGGTTGGGTTTATATCAGGGCTCTCTAGTCTGTTCCATTGGTCTATGGGTCTGGTCTTGTGCCAGTAACAAATTGTCTCGCTTACAGCGGCTTTGTAGTAGGGCTTGAAATCGGGAAGCATAATTATCCCCGCTTTATTCTTCATTCTCAGGATTGCTTTGGCTATTTGTTTTTTTGTGTGTGTTTCTATATGAATTTTAGCACTATTTGCTCTAGTTCATTGAAGAGTGCTGTTGGTATTTCGATAGGGATTGCTTTGAAACTGTAGGTTGCTTTAGGCAGGATGACCATTTTAACAGTATTAATTCTTCCTATCCATGAGCATGGGATGTATTTCCATTTATTGGTATCTTCTTTAAATATCTCTCATGAGTGTCTTGCCTTTTTCAGGGTAGAGGTCTTTCCTTTCCTTGGTTAGGTTTATTCCTAGGTATTTTATTCTTTTTGATGCAATTGTGAATGGATTTGCTTTACTGATTTCTCTGCCAGTTCATTATTAGTGTATAGGAATGCAACAGATTTCTGTGTTAATTTTGTATCCTGCAACTTTGCTGAATTCAAATATTAGTTCTAGTTCTTTAGGGTGGATTCTTTAGGGTTTTCTATGTATTATATCATGTCATCTGCAAACAGTGACAGCTTTACTTCTTCCTTACCGATCTGGATGCCTTTTATTTCTTTGTGTTGTCTGACTGCCATGGCTAGGACTTCTAGTACTGTGTTGAATAAAAGTGGGGAGAGTCCGCATCTTTGTTTTGTTTCCAATCTTAAAGGAAAAGCTTCCAGGTTCTCACCGTTCAGTATGATGTAGACTGTGGGTTTGTCAAATATGACCTTTATTATGGTTAGGTACTTGCCCTTTATACCCATTTTGTTGACAGTTTTTATCATGAATGGATGTTGAATTTTGTCGAATGCTTTTTCAGCATCTATAGAGATGATCATGTGGTTTTTGTCCTTTTTGTTGATGTGGTGGATGATGATGGATCTTTGAATATTCTACCATTTTGCATCCCTGGAATAAATGCTACTTGATCATGATGGATGATCTTTTTGATGTATTTTTGAATTCAGTTTGCTAATATTTTTTAGAATTTTTGCATCTATGTTCATCAGGGGTATTGGTTTGTAATTTTCTTTTTTTGTGGTGCCTTTGCCTTGTTTTGGTATTAGAGTTATGTGGGCCTCATAGAATGAGTTTGAGAGTATTCCCTCCTCTTCTACTTTTTGCAAAACTAAGGAGGACGGGTATTAGGTCTTCACTAAGTTTTTGATAAAATTCATCAGTGAAGCTATCTGGTCCAGTAGTTTTGTTTTTAGGTAGTTTTTTGATTATCAATTCAATGTGTTGCTGTTAATTGGTCTGTTCAGATTTTCTGTTTCTTCCTGGGTCAGCCTTGGAAGGTTGTATTTTTCTAGGAAGTTGTCCTTTTCTTCTAGGTTATCCAGTTTACCATATAATTTTTCATAGTATTCTCTAATAATTCTTTGTATTTCTGTGGTGTCCATAGTGATTTTTTCCTTTCTCATTTCTGATTCTGTTTATGTGTGTAGACTTTTTTTCTTGATAAGTCTGCTATGGTTTATATTTTTATTTTTTGGAAAAACAAGCTCCAGCTTTTCTTGATTCTATTGTGTTATTCTTCTTAATTTTATTAATTTCTGCTCTAATCTTTATTATGTCCCTCCTTCTACTGACTTTGGGCCTCATTTGTTATTCTTTTTCTAGTTTCGGTAATTGTGGGTTTAGACTGTTCATATGGAATTGTTCTTCTTTCCTGAAATATGCCTTTACTGCAATATACTTTCTTCTTAACACAGCCTTCACTGTGTCCCACAGAATTTGCTGTGTTGAATTATTGTTGTCATGTGTCTCCATATATTGCTTGATCTCTGTTCTTATTTGGTCATTGATCCATTGATTAGGAGCATATTGTTAAGCCTCCATGTGTTTGTGGGCCTTTTTCATGTTCTTTGTGTAATACCTTTGGTGTCTGAGAAGCTGGCTGGTACAATTTCATTTTTGAATTTCGTGAGTCTCTTTTTGTGGCCTAGTATGTGATCTATTCTGGAAAACATCCCATGTACACTTGAGAAGAATGTGTATCCTGCTGCTTTTGGGTGAAATGTTCTATACTTGTCTGTTAGGTCCATCCATTCTAATGTGTTGTTCAGTGCCTATCTCCTTATTTTCTGTCTGGATTATCTGTCCTTTAGGGTGAGTGGTATGTTGAAGTCTTCTAAAATGAATGCCTTACATTCTATTTCCCCCTTCAATTCTTTGATATTTGTTTCACATATGTAGGTGCTCCTGTGTTGGGTGCATAGTTATAATACTTATGTCCTCTTGTTGGACTGACCCCTTCGCCATTATGTAATGCCCTAGTCTCATTATTTTCTTTGTTTGGAAATCTATTTTGTCTGATACATGTACTGCAACTCCTGCTTTTTTCTCTGTTAGTTGCATGAAATATCTTTTTCCATCCCTTCACTTTTAGTCTGTGTATGTCTTTGAGTTTAAAGTGAGCCTCTTGTAGGCAGCATATTGGTGAGTCTTGTTTTTTATCCTTTCATTGACTCTATGTATTTTTATTGATACATTCTGGCTATTTACATTTAGGGTGATTATTGATAGGTATGTACTTATTGCCATTGTAGGCTTTAGATTCATGGGTACCAATAGTTCAAGGATAATTTCTTTATTATCTAACAGTCTAATTTAACTCAGTACGGTATTACAAACAGAATCTAAAGGTTCTTTTTTTTTCTTTCTTCCTCCTCCATTCTTTATGTATATCATATTCTGTACTTTATCCCTTGACTGACTTTGGGAGTAGTTGATTTGATTTTGCATCTGCTTAGTAATTGTTCTACTTTCTTTACTGTGGTTTTATTTCCTCTGGTGACAGCTATTAAACCTTAGGAGCACTTCCATCTATACCAGTCCCTCCAAAATACACTGTAGAGATGGTTTGTGGGAGGTAAATTCTCTCAGCCTTTGCTAATCTGGAAGTTGTTTAATCCTTCCTTCAAATTTAAATGTTAATCTTACCGGGTAGAGTATTCTTGGTTGGAGGCCCTTCTGCTTCATTACGTTAAATATAACATGCCACTGCCTTCTGGCCTGTAAGGTTTCTGTTGGGAAGTCCAATGATAGCCTGATAGGTTTTCCTTCATATGTGATCTTTTTTCTCTTTCTAGCTGCTTTTAAAAGTCTGTCTTTATCCTTGATCTTTGCCATTTTAATTATTATTATGTCTTGGTGTTGTCTTCCTTGGGTTCCTTGTGTTGGGAGACCTGTGCTCCTCCTTGGCCTGAGAGACTATTTCCTTCCCCAGATTGGGGAAGTTCTCAGCAATTACCTCCTTGAAGACACTTTCTAGCCCTTTTTCTTTCTTCTTCTTTTGGTACCCCTATAATTTGAATATTGTTCCTTTTGGATTGGTCACACAGTTCTCTCAATATTCATTGATTCCTAGAGATCCTTTTTTCTCTCTGTGCCTCAGCTTCTGTGTATTCTGCTTCTCTAATTTCTATTTTATTTACTGTCTCCTCTACTTAATATGCTTTTAAATCCCTCCATTGTATGTTTCATTTTAGACACTGTATTCTTTAACGATAGAGTCTCATTCCTGAATTTTTCAATATTTTTCTGTACCTTCTTGATATTGTTTATGATTTTTATTTTTAAATCTCTTCAGGAAGATTGAGTAGTTCAGTTTCTCTTGGACCTCTTTCTGGTGTTTGAACCAGGTTCCTTTGATGTTTCATATTTGTCTGTGGTGCCCTCTAGTGCCCAGAAGCTCTCCTCTCTGGAGCTGCTCAGTCCCCAGAGGGATGGTGTGGGCTGCAGGTGAGCAGTGTTAGTGCCCTGTTATGTGAGGTCTGTTCTTTTCTCCAGGCGTATGCAGTTTGGCACAGCTTTTTTCCTGTTGGTCTTTCAGGATTAGTTGTATTAACTATATTTTCACATTTATATGGTTTTGGGAGGAAGTTTCTGTCTCACCTCTCATGCCACCATCTTTAATCCCCCAGTTTCTTATTTTGAATGTCTCTACACACTTACTCCTTTCCTTCTAGAGAAACAGGGCTCCTTTGGCTAATAGGAATGATTTGAAAAAGGTTCCTTACAATGTTTCTTTACACTGAAGCTGTGGCAAAAGACTTAACGCCAGAGAAGTCAACAAATCTTACCTACCCAAGATATGAAAAAATAGTACCCTATTTTCGAAAGCTTGAAAGTTTTAAAGAATACAAATGAGGAGAAAACCAATACATGAACTATTTATTTACAAAGTAATTAAAAATATTTCCTTACAAAATAAATTCTTGCCAAAATATTGAAATTATTTACAAAATAGGGCCCAAACATTACATAGGGTTTGCTATATCTAGAGTTACTTAAAATTTTTAGTTTTTACAGAAATGATCACCTAAATGTGGCAAGTTTAAGGGTCATAATTTATGTTCAAGTTGGCTTACAGTTTGAGCTATGTGATTATATATTTTAACCAGATTTTTATAATTAAAACAGTATTTTGATTACTTTTTAGTATAGTCTTACTCTTTTAAAGCATACTTTCAAAACATTAAATAGTGCTGCATAAATTCTTTATTAAACCAAGTATGATACAGTCATTTAATAGCCATATATTGGGTACAAAATAAACATATTTACAAACCAGATACATACACATTTTGGTTACAATCTTAACGTACAATTTTTGGAAAACTGTCAGTAAAATCTAAGATAAATGGGTTTTCCTTAATCATTAAAAAACTCATTCTTAAAGGCTTTTTCTGTAATCATAAAAATCATTCCATGGCTCATAGAAGGTGAGTAGGTATCTTTAATCTTAGCTTATCTTTAAATGAAATTCAGATCAAGATTAACTCATTACTTCCCAAAGTCCCTGTAGGGTGAATCCATCCTTCAATTTCTCTATTGCAAGCCCCAATTCTTCTGAAAATACAGGTTCACGATCTTGTTGCTTTTTGGGAGATAAGAGGATGTTATGGGAATCAGAAGGTGGGAAAGGAAGAGAAAAAAACAGAAAATAGGTTACACTTAAGTTTGTGAATACTAAATGTTGGAATATAGAAAGTTTTTTTCCCCATATACTATAGGTAAATTGTCCTTACCTTATTACCATCAGCAAAATAAGCCTATAAGACAAAGAAAATTATATTTCACATACTCAACATATAATATAGTTCAGTGGGCTAAGGAATAGGTAATTAATTTATAGAACAATTCTGTAACTAAATGTATTTTATGTTCTGTTACTGTGTGTCTAATGGTTTTCCCACCTATTTTTACAGTGCTGGTAGCAGAATTCTCTTTTTCTATTAATGATCATTAATGGTTACAAGATCTCTGCTTAAGCTCTAAAAAGTATGCTTTGTAATTAGTGTACAGTTGGCATTGTTATTTTGAAAGGAGATAAAAATAAGCTATAAAATATTATCCCTACTTTTGATTTAGAAGATGTTTACATAACAAAATAATCAGTGCTTCAGTGTGTCAGCAAATCCATATAGTTTGATGTAGTAGTTTGTAATTAAATATTTTACACTATTTTCACACTTTTATTTAGAGACATTTTTTCTTAGAGGAGTATGTTGATCAGATTCACAGATCAAAATATATAGAAAGCATTATTATTATTGTGGCTATTAAATAATATAAATTTAGAAACAGTAAAGTTTATTCAAATACCTTTTTAAAGATAATATATCTATAAATTGAATGGAAGTCCATCTCATACAGATTAATTATGGGAAGTATAGATTTTATATTAAACTATATTTAACATGCCCTATTATTCCAAGATATGAAAAAACTTCACAGACCTGAAATCCTCTTAATAACTGTGTTCTCAAATAATTTCCCAGTTAGGTGATTCAAAAGTATTTTCACACACATAAAAAATCCATGACTTAAAAAAAAAATTACTCTCCAATCCTGTTTAAGATACTCTCAAAAGATTCAAGTTCTGTGGTTCATCACTAATTAAACAAGTATTTAATTCAACATGACTGAGATAAAAAAACAATCACAAGAAATTTAGTAGCTCTTCTTTGTGATACTCACCACAAAAGCATCTGTATGATCATCAGAATCTATTTCTACATCATCTTGAATTTGTTCAACTGTCAAAGCTTCAAGGGGCTGTGGCTGAAAATCAGTAGATGTTAAAATGCATCAGAGATAATAATAATCAAACAAATAATTTTAGTAAAATATGCTGTGAGAATTATAAATATTTGGAAAAGAATAACACAATTACAAACTACTCAAGTCTTATAAAATATCACTGCATATTTACATTCTACTAAAACTAACTTGATAATGAGTCAGTTAAACCTAAGCTTTTAAATCTGAAGTCAATAGCATCAAAAGGATTAAAATGACAAATTTACAGATTCTTCATATGACACTTAGAGTTATCCTTAAAGAAAACCTCTCACTGGACTTTATCTGATTTTCTTTACATAGTTAAAAACCTAAGTTTTGTATAATAGCAAAGTCTCAATTTTCCTCAAAATAGTTTATTAAATAGAATTTGTGAAAAGAACTGAGATTCGTATGGAATATTCTAGAGGTAAAACAGAATAAAATATAGGTTGATTAATTTATAAATTCATTTTTTTCCCCAAACATTTGAGTATCTGGTGTATTAGGCACTTTGCTAGTACTATCAAGGGTTTAGAATCCTTGGCCCTACCCACAAAAAGTCTGTGATCTAGTGGGAGTAGAGCAAAGGATAAAGCACAATTACAAATAACTGTTAGGTTGAGCCATTTGAAATTACCATTTTTGTTAGTAAAAAAAGATCCAATATTAATAATATCATATGGTTCAACCAATGCATAGTAGCTACACCAAATGCAGTATCTATTATAGTAAAAGAGTTGGAGACAGAGCAACTTCTGGTTTGTGAATCCCAGAAACTTTCATGAAGAAAAGGTTGGCATGTGAACTAGGCCTTTTAGGATGAGGATGATTTTCATCGGTAGAATTAGAGGAAAGAGTATTTCTAGCAGAAGAGATCACCATCAGCAAAGGTGAGAAAACTCAGGATGTGGCGGAAGAATGATGAATTATCTGGTAGAGTCAGATTACAGGAGACCCATGAGACAGATGGAGCTAAGCAGGGCTATTGTGCTGAACCACCTCAGCAAGCATCAGTCACATTAAAGTCTATGTGAACAAGGTTCTCTAGCATTAGGCAGTGCACAGTCCGCACAATCAGACACTGCAGAAAATGCAGACTGGCTTCTACTGAAATCCCTTAATACCAGCCCAACTTTATTTATAGGTGAGGTAGTATTGAGGATGGAAGGATATTGTTTGACAATATTGACCTGATCCCCTAATCTGAGAATAGCCTCAGTGTTTGTCATGTTCAGACCTGTATGACTGTGTACAAATAATTTAACCTATCTGACCCTCAGCCTCAACTGTGAGATAAGCATAATAATAATAATGATATACTTCACAGTATTGTTGGGAGGATTAAATGAGATGATGCATATAAAATTCTAGAGCAGCGAATGGCAAAAAGTAGGTGTTCAACACAGTCATTCAACAGCTATGAATATTTACTGAGAGCCTATTATTGCTAGTTTAGATTGCTGGAGATACAGTGCAGACAAAAATCTCTGACTTCACAGAGATGATTTATAATAGGGGAGACTGATTAGTGTTACCACAAGTAAAGCAATCAAGCAAGCAAGGGACAAAACAATGGTGGCAGCTGCTGCTTTAGATGGCTAGTCAGGGGTAGCCTGTGGTAGGGACTCACAGGTGACAAGAGTGAGCTGTTATGGCTGGCTATTCTGTACTGGGGGCCAAAGAAGGGGAAAAGAGAACTAACCTGAGTGTTTCCCACATACCAGGCATTTTACAGAATGATTAATAATGATTAATAACTTTGTGAGATATTATTTTCATTTTGTGATGAGAAAACTGAAACTCAAATTTTCCTAGGGTCATTGATAAATGAAGTCGGGTTTGTCAGGTTCCAAGGATCATGCTTGTTCTACATCATTCTGCAGGCAAAAGCAATGGCAGTAACTGCACCATGAGCGAAAAGGAAGGACAGCAACAGAGAGGAGGCTGGTAGGACTGACTAAATTTGTAACACGGATAATCAGAAAAATAGAAAAGGAAAACTCCAAGATTTTGAGCACAGATGACTTTGACAATGCTAAAAATAAAATAATAAACAGATAAATCAGCAGAATGGTACTTCTGAGAAAAATGGTGGAATTTTTTGTGTGTCAAGTTCAAATGCTTAACTAAACTCTAGTGTACCTTACTGACTTGGATCATTATTTAGTTAAATATATTATTAAGATAAACCATTAAATGAGAAATTCAATTTATGTTATTTGGAATATTCACATATGTGAAGATATTCCAGAATATTTGGAACCATGATTAAGCCAAAAAAGTGTGTCACTATCAGAAAGAAAGATTTACAGAAATACTAGTTGAAGAAACTGAAGGAAGGGTGATATTACTGAGGAATATACAAAGAAAGTAGAGTCAAAGGGAGAATGTTGAAGGAAACGCAGGTTGGGAAAAAAACAGAAAAGATAGTTAAGGAGATGAAATATATAGAATGCATGCATGACAGCAACCCAGAGAGAAGTTTCAGATGGAAAGGTAAAGGAATTTGACAGGGAGATAAAAAAATTAAGTATAAGGAGCAGTACCAGGTGACAGAGCTTGGTGCAGTCAGAGTGTGTGAATCTGTACTTAACTGCTCAGCTCTATTCCTGATCTTGTCAGGTCACAGGCTGTAGTCCAAGAGCAGAACAGACAGAGAGAATATATGTGATATGCCTTGACATGCTGAGTACTGGCAGGACACTGCTGAAAAAATGGACAGCAAGGGCACCAGCAATAGCATGCACAGGAGGGACACCAGCAGAACAGACCTCAGGTAAGAATGGTCAGCAAGGGCACCAGGGACAGCACCTTTGGTAAGGGTACCACTGATAGAGCATGGTGAGGCTGTCTGAATGCAGTGGCTGGTGAAGACACCAGGGACAGACAGATGACAAGGGCCCCAACTGGAGAGGCTGAAGAGAAAAGCCAAAAGAGAGATGGTGTAACTGGGAGCACAAACTGGAGGAGAAACCAGAAATCATGAAGAAGGCAGAGAGCAGACATGTGGGTGTGAGATTAAAGATATTTCATAGCTGGTAGGGCAGAGATATTGATCAACAGGAATGGGCATAGACCCTACTGATGGAGCAGACTCCTGGAGTTGCTATATTGCAAGGCACTGGGGGAAGAGAATGGTGTCCATGAGGCATATAAGATTTGTCCAAATGCTAAGGGGAGGCTGAAGTAGAAGAAAAATGAAGGTGACAGAATGAGAGACTTGAATTTGTCTACATCAGAGAAGCTTTGCACTTGGAGACTTCCCTGGATAGGCTGCTCACCTAGAAGGGCAGGAATAGATGAGGCAGCAGGGAGAAGACAAGAGGTCAGCATGAGTTAGTGAGCAGTCTGTATATTCATAATTTTAAGCATAATTAAACTTAAATTATAAAGTGTTTATATCTGAATATTTATAGATTATATCAAAGTAATTCAGCAAACTGTATTTCACATACTGAGCAAATTACCTTTTCTTCCATCTTGTAATCTACTCCAAATATAGGACTGGTAGAATAGACTTTGTGAAGTGAATTGATTTCCTTAACTGATTCTTGTAGTTTTTCCACAGGATCTATTTTAAAGCCAAGGACATACCCTCCACTCTATGAATAAATAATGAAAAAACAAAAAACAAGCCTGAAGAATGGTATTTCCAGTACTCAATAAACTATTGCTCTAATGTCCTTATTCCAGAGGACAATAAATAAGCTAATTTTTAAAATTTACTATTTATATGCCAAGCATACACAAAAATAGGGAAGTATACTCAGTATCCATGTAGTCATCATCCAGCTTCAACAAGTAACGACTCACGGCCAACTCTGCTGGATCTGGAACCTTTCCCTCCCCCAAATCTCCTTCTCTCACTCACTCAAGATTATTTTGAAGCGTATCCAGATATCATATCATTTCATGTGTAAAGATCAAAGCTGATTATTTCAATATTAAAAAAACATACACGAGATTATGAAGGCCAAAGGAGCTAAGCTTTTCTTGGGCTACACCTTGAAAATACACTATATTATAAAAAGAAGACATGGAATGCCTATCTGAGGCTATCTCCTTGAAGACTTGAGAAACTTGACTGTGAGACTGTTAGGGAAGAATGTTAAAAATATTAAGGAGTAGAGAATGAAACTGGATCACTGTCTAACCCCATACACAAAAGTAAATTTGAAATGGATCAAAGACCTGAATGTAAGTCATGAAACCATAAAACTCTTAGAAAAAAACATAGGCCAAAATCTCTTGTACATAAACATGAGCGACTTCTTCATGAACATATCTCCCTGGGCAAGGGAAACAAAAGCAAAAATGAACAAGTGGGACTATATCAAACTATAAAGCTTGTGTACAGCAAAGGACACCATCAATAGAACAAAAAGGTACCCTACAGTATAGGAGAATATATTCATAAATGACAGAGCCGATAAAGGGTTGACATCCAAAATATATAAAGAGCTCACGCACCTCAACAAACAAAAAGCAAACAATCCAATTAAAAAATGGGCAGAGAAGCTGAACAGACAGTTTTCCAAAGAAGAAATTCAGATGGCCAACAGACACATGAAAAGATGCTCCACATCGCTTGTCATCAGAGAAATGCAAATTAAAACCACAATGAGATATCACCTCACACCAGTAAGGATCGCCACCATCCAAAAGACAAACAACAAATGTTGGCAAGGTTGTGGAGAAAGGGGAACCCTCCTACACTTCTGGTGGGAATGCAAATTAGTTCAACCATTGTGGAAAGCAGTACGGAGGTTCCTCAAAAAGCTCAAATAGAAATGTCATTTGACCCAGGAATTCCACTTCTAGGAATTTACCCTAAGAATGCAGCAGCCTGGTTTGAAAAAGACAGATGCACCCCTATGTTTATTGCAGCACTATTTACAATAACCAATAAATAGAAACAACCTAAGTGTCCATCAATAGATCAATGGATAAAGATGATGTGGCACATATACACAGTGGAATATTATTCAGCCATAAGAAGAAAACAAATCCTACCATTTGCAACAACATGGATGGAGCTAGAGGGTATTATACTCAGTGAAATACGCCAGGTGGAGAAAGACAAGTACGAAATGATTTCACTTCATATGTGGAGTATAAGAACAAAGAAAAACTGAAGGAACAAAACAGCAGAAGAATCACAGAACCTAAGAATGGACTAACAGTTACCAAAGGGAAAGGGACTGGGCAGGAGGGGTGGGAAGGGAGGGATAAGGGCAGGGAAAAAAAAAGGGCGTCTTATGATTAGCATGTATAATGTGGGGGGGTGCATAGGGAGGGATGTGCAACACAGAGAAGACAAGTAGTGGGTCTACAGCATCTTACTACACTGATGGACAGTGACTGTAATGGGGTTTGTGGGGGGGGACTTGGTGAAAGGGGAAGTCTAGTAACCATAATGTTCTTCATGTAATTGTAGATTAATGATAATAAAATGAATTTAAAAATATACTAAGGAGCATACTGTACTAGGTGAGAGCATATACTTTTGGGTTCAAATTCTGGTTTTACAACAAACTAGCTGTATGATGCTGGGAAATATACTTTCCTTAATCTTTACAAGCCTCAATTTTCTAACTGTAACATGCTTATAAAGTTATTATATAAAATAAAATAAAATATATATGACATTTGGTACAGTTTCTGGAACATAGTAACCACTCAATAAATGGAAGCTACTAATCTAAAGGTCAGGAAAAAGGAATGAACAGACAGTCATGTTTAAATTGAGAATTTAGAAAAGAAGTGATTGTATAAAAAAGTAAATGTTTTATTTAAATGTATTTCTGTAGAAACCTGGCATAATGGAGTTTATAATTAGATACAGTATAATCTGCATATGAGAATACACAATCTCAAATAGGGTGTGTGTGTGTGTGTGTGTATATATATATATATATATATATATATATAGATCTGTGTTTCTCAACAACAGACTTGTGAATCAGTCAGATCTGGAATCAAATTCTAGCCCCATCTCTGACTAATAGTGAAACCATGGGCAACGTTCCTAACTTATCTAACCCTCAGTTTCCTTGACTGTAGAATGGGGAAAAAATAGTAACTGTATCACAGGATTGTGTAAAGAATGAGATAATACATAAAAAGTACAGTAACTTGACTCTATTAAAAATTATAATCATGGAATTCAAGATGGCGGTGTGAGAGGTGAGACAGAGAACTCCTCCTAAAACCACAAACACTATAAAAATATAGTTAATTAATACAACTAACCCAAAAACAGCAACAGGAAAGAAGGCTGAACCAGACTGCATACAGACCTCAGGAACACAGAAGACCTCACAAAATAGGGTAATGTACCAAAGCTTTGATCCAGCGGGACCCAAGCCCTTCCCCGACCCCAGCTCACTGGTGGAAGGAAGAGAAACAGAGCAGGGAGGGGGTGGAAGCCTGGGACTGCTGACACCTAGCCCTGGAGGCCTGCTTTGCAAGCAGAAACCTATATTGTGTGGTGCTCTGGAGGTTGGGGAGCTGGGACAGGCGGAGTGCTTGAGAGACTGAGATTCCAGCCGTTTGGGGAAGATGGGATCCACATCCAGTCGCTCTGGGACAAAGGAAAGGCAGGTGGGCTGAGAGGCTTCCTAGCAATGAGAGGGCTGAAGGGGCGGTTTGCACGGAGCTTGCTGCACGGGAGAAGGGAGACCTGGACAAGGTTCTCTGAGCGCGCTCTGCCTGGCAGGTTGGGAACTCTGAGGAGTTTTAGCTGCTCCATCCCCCTGGCTGGCTGCTCACCTCCAAGTGACATGCAGCCTGCCGAGCCTTCCTCCTGGCCTGATAGCACCAGCTCGCACACCAGCAGTCACTGCACTGGCATCAGGCCAGCCAGAGGGAGGTCCCACCTACAACAGCTAGAGACGCCAAGCACAGAGGCTTACACCTCAGTGCTCGGTCCACTGGCTCTTATATTGGAGACAGGCACCACAGATAGGAATCAGGGAACAGATCTTCCCTGCCCCTAGGCACCAGCTCCGCTCCCCTATGACCCCCAACCTCACTCAGCTGGGCACTAGAGGGCACCACACAGAAATACAAAATGTCAAAAGAACCAGGTTCAGACCAAAATCTCACAAAACCGAGAAAAAGGGCCAAATGAAACTGAACTCACCAATCTTCCTCAAAGAGAGTTCAAAATAAAAACCATAAACATGCTTATGGAGGTACAGAAAAATATTCAAGTACTGAGAAACGAATTTAAGATGAAGATTCAATCATTAAGAAATTCCATATCTGAAATGAAACATACAATGGAGGGATTTAAAAGCAGATGAGATGTAGCAGAAGAGATGGTAAATGGGATATAAATTAGAGAAGAGGAATAAAAAGAAGCTGAGGTACAGAGAGAAAAAAGAATCTCTAAGAATGAAAGAATATTGAGAGAACTGTGTGACCAATCCAAAAGGAAGAATATTTGCATTACAGGGGTACCGGAAGAAGAAGAAGAGGGAGAAAAAGAGGTAGAAAGTGTCATTGAGGAGGTAATTGCTGAAAACTTCCCCAATCTGGGGGAGGAAATAGTCTCTCAGACCATGGAGGTGCACATATCTTCCAACACAAGGAACCCAAGAAAGACAACATCAAGACATATAATAATTAAAATGGCAAAAATCAAGGATAAAGACAGACTTTTAAAAGCAACTAGAGGGAGAAAAAAGATCATATGCAAAGGAAAACCCATCAGGCTATCATCAGATTTCTCAACAGAAACCTTACAGGCCAGAAGGAAGTGGAATGGTATATTTAATGCAATGAAGCAGAAGGGCCTTGAACCAAGAATACTCTATCCGGCAAGGTTTTCATTTAACTTTGAAGAACGAATTAAACAATTTTCAGATAAGCAAAAGCTGAGAGAATTTACCTCCCACAAACCACCTCTACAGTACATTTTGGAGGGACTGCTATAGATGGAAGTATTCCTAAGGCTAAATAGATGTCACCCAAGGGATAGACAAAGAGTAAAGAATATGATTCATAATGTACAAAGAATGGAGGAGGAAGAAAAAGGAGGAAAAAGAACCTTTAGGTTGTATTTGTAATAGCACATGAAGTGAGTTAAATTAGACTGTTAGACAGTAAGAGAATTACCCTTGAACCTTTGGTAACCACGTATCTAAGCTTGCAATGGCAAAAAGTACATACCTATTGATAATCCCCTTAAATGTAAATAGTATGAATGCACCAATCAAAAGACATAGAGTCACTGAATGGATAAACAAATACGACCCATCTATATGCTGCCTACAAGAGACTCACTTCAAACCCAAAGACATACACAGACTGAAAGAAAGTAAAGGGATGGAAAAAGATATTTCATGCAACGAACAGGGAGAAAAAGCAGGAGTCACAGTACATGTATCAGACAAAATTGACTTCAAAACAAAGAAAGTAAAAGAGACAAAGAAGGACATTACATAATGATAACAGGGTCAGTCCACGAAGAGGATATAACTATTATAAATATCTAGGCACCCAACACAGGATCACCTATGTATGTGAAACAAATACTAACAGAATTAAAGGGGGAAATCAAATTCAATCCATTCATTTTAGGAGACTTCAACACACCACTCACTCCAAAGGACAGATCAACCAGACAGAAAATAAGTAAAGAGACAGAGGCACTGAACAACGTATTAGAAGAGATGGACCTAACGGACATCAACAGAACACTCCATCCAAAAGCAACAGGATACACATTCTTAAGTGCACATGGAACATTTTCAAGAATAGATCATATACTAGGCCACAAAAAGAACCTCAGTAAATTACAAAAGATTAAAATTGTACCAACCAGCTTCTCAGATCACAAAGGTATGAAACTAGAAATAAATTACGCAAAGAAAATGAAAAATCCCACAAACACATGTAGGCTTCACAACATACTTGTAAATAACCAATGAATCAATGACCAAATAAAAACAGAGATCAAGCAATATATAGAGACAAATGACAACAATAAGTCAACACCACAAAATCTGTGGACGCAGAGAAAGACATGCTAAGAGGGAAGTATATTGCAATACAGGCCTACCTCAGGAAAGAAGAACTATCCCAAATGAACAGTCTAAACTCACAATTAATGAAAGGAGAAAAAGAAGAACAAATGAGGCCCAAAGTCAGCAGAAGGTGGGACATAAAAAAGATTAAAGCAGAAATAAATAAAATTGAGAAGAATAAAACAACAGAAAAAATCAATGAAAGCAGGAGCTGGTTCTTCGAGAAAATAAACAAAACAGATAAACCCCTAGCCAGACTTATCAAGAAAAAAAGAGAGTCTACACACATAAACAGAATCAGAAATGAGAAAGGAAAAATCACTACGGACACCACAGAAATACAAAGAATTATGAGAGAATACTATGAAAAATTATATGGTAACAAAGTGGATAAGCTAGAGGAAATGGACAACTTTCTAGAAAAATACAACCTTCCAAAGTTGACCCAGGAAGTAATAGAAAATCTGAATAGACCAATTACCAGCAAAGAAATTGAACTGGTAATCAAAAAACTTTCACAGAAAGAAACTCATATGTTAGATGTTTTCACTACTGAATTTTATCAAACATTTAGTGAAGACCTAATACCCATTCTCCTTAAAGTTTTCCAAAAAATAGAAGAGACGGGAATACTTCCAAACTCATTCTATGAAGCCAGCATCACTCTAATACCAAAACCAGGCAAAGACACCACAATAAAAGAAAATTACAGACCAATATACCTGATGAACATAGATGCAAAAATATTCAACAAAATATTAGCAAACCGAATTCAAAAATATATCAAAAAGATCATCCATCATGGTCAAGTGGGATTCATCCCAGGGATGCAAGGATGGTACAACATTCTAAAATCCATTAACATCATCCACTACATCAACAAAGAGAAGGAGAAAAACCACATGATCATATCAATAGATGCTGAAAAAGCAGTTGACGAAATTCAACATCCATTCATGATAAAAAATCTCAACAAAATGGGTATAGGGGGCAAGTACCTCAACGTAATAAAGGCCATATATGACAAACACACAGCCAACATTATACTGAACAGCAAGAAGCTGAAAGCTTTTCCTTTAAGATCGGGAACAAGACAAGGATGCCCACTCTCCCCAGTTTTATTCAACATAGTACTGGAGGTCCTAGCCACAGCAATCAGACAACACAAGAAATAAAAGGCATCCAGATTAGCAAGGGAGAAGTCAAACTGTCCCTGTTTGCACATGACATGATATTGTACATAAAAAACCCTAAAGAATCCACTCCAGAACTACTAGATCTAATATCTGAACTCAGCAAAGTTGTGGGATACAAAATTAATACACAGAAATCTGTGATATTCCTATACACTAACAATGAACTAGCAGAGAGAGAAATCAGGAAAACAATTCCATTCATAATTGCATCAAAAGGAATAAAAGACCTAGGAATAAACCTAACCGAGGAAGGGAAAGACTTATACTCTGAAAACTACAAGACACTCATGAAAGAAATTAAAGAAGATACCAATAAAAGGAAACACATCCCGTGCTCATGGATAGGGAGAATTAATATTGTCAAAATGGCCATCCTGCTTAAAGCAATCTACAGATTCAATGCAATCCCTATCAAAATAGCAACAGCATTCTTCAGTGAACTAGAGCAAATAGTTCTAAAATTCATATGGAACCACAAAGACCCTGAATAGCCAAAGCAATCCTGAGAAGGAAAAATAAAGCAGGGGGAATTATGCTCCCTGACTTCAAGCTCTACTACAAAGTCACAGTAATCAAGACAATTTGGTACTTGCAAAAGAACAGACCCATAGATCAATGGAACAGACTAGAGAGTCCAGATATAAACCCAAGCATATATGGTCAATTAATATATGATAAAAGAGCCATGCAATGGGGAAATGAGAGCCTCTTTAACAGTCAGTGTTGGCAAAACTGGACAGCTACATGTAAGAGAATGAAACTGGATCGTCTAACCCCATACACAAAAGTAAATGCAAAATGGATCAAAGAACTGAATGTAAGTCATGAAGCCATAAAACTTTTAGAAAAAAACATAGGCAACACTCTCTTCGACATAAACATGAGAAACTTCTTCATGAATGCATCTCTGCAGGCAAGGGAAACAAAAGCAAAAATGAACAAGTGGGACTGTATCAAACTGAAAAGCTTCTGTACTGCAAAGGACACCATGAGTAGAACAAAAAGGCAGCCTACAGTATGGGTGAATATATTCATAGATGACATATCCAATAAGGGGTTGACATCCAAATTAAACAAAGAATTCACACACCTCAACAAACAAAAAGCAAATAAGCCAATTAAAAAATGGGCAGAGGAGCTGAACACTTGTCCAAAGATGAAATTCAGATGGCCATGAGGCACATGAAAAGATGTTCCATATCCCTAGTCATCAGATATATGCAAATTAAAACCACAATGAGATATCACCTCACACCAGTAAGGATGGCCACAATCCAAAAGACAACAACAAATGTTGGTGAGCATGTGGAGAAAGGGAAGCCCTTCTACACTACTGGTGGAAAGTAAATTAGTTTAACTATTACGGAAAGAAGTATGGAGGTTCCTCAAAAAACTCAAAGTAGAAATACCATTTGACCAAGGAATTCCACTCCTAGGAATTTACCCTAAAATGCAGGAGTCCAGTTTGAAAAAGACATATGCACCCCTAGTTTATTGCAGCACTATTTACAATAGCCAAGAAATGGAAACAACCTAAGTGCCCATTAGTAGATGAATGGATAAAGAAGATATGGTACATACACACAATGGAATATTATTCAGCCATAAAAAGAAAACAAATCCTACCATTTGCAACAACATGGATGGAGCTAGAGGGTATTATGCTCACTGAAATAAGCTAGGTGGAGAAAGACATGTATCACATGATTTCACTCATGTGAACCTTCCACATGGAGTATAAGAACAAAGCAAAAACTGAAGGAACAAAACAGCAGCAGACTCACAGAACCGCAGAATGGACTAACAGTTACCAAAGGGAAAGGGACCTGGAAGGATGGGTGGGAATGGATGGATAAGGGAGAAAAAGGGTTCATTACGATTAGCATGTATAATGTAGGGGGGGTGCACGGGGAAGGCAGTATAACACAGAGAAGACAAGTAGTGATTCTCTAGTATCTTACTACGCTGATGGACAGTGACTGTAAAGGGGTATGTGGTGGGGACTTGATAATACAGGGAGTCTGTAACCACAATGTTGTTCATGTAATTGTACATTAATGATAACAACAACAACAAAAAGATATAAAAACTTAAAAAAAATTATAATCATGATAATAATGATTATATCTGTCCAACAAAGAAACATAAGTAGGATTCTTCCTATGGGAACAATTACTGTATGACTTCAAACTCTTCATATAACTTCATGTTACAGCTAATATTCATTCTGAATGTAGACTGTTTTTATATAAATAAAACTAAAAATATAAACTCATACAATTTTACAAATGTATTAAAGATTAATAGAATGTAAACTATCTTACCTGCTGGGAGCTTTCAATGACAAGAGCTAGACCAAATTTTGACTCTCTAACCTTTATTGAACGCTAGATAGAATGAAAAGAAAATGTTAAGTTTTTATTACCTGTTATCTGTGTAGCAACTCTTTAACACAAGTTCTCAACTTCTATACAGTAACTATTAAAGAACAGAATTCTCCTTTTCTTCATTACACTCCCACAGAGATCAAGTAAATGACAATTTTTGTAGTGGAAATGGGCAGCAAATTTGTAAGGCCATATAAAGAATTCATCTCTGAAGTACGCACAAAATTCTCTGGCTCAATTTTCCCCCACTTTCAGGGAGTCCACAACTTATCTGAATATTTTAAACCAAAGGCCAAGAGTCTTTTAGTTATGGTGAGCCAGTGTCTTTTGTGGCTCCTAAGGCTGGGTTCATTTTTAAAAGTTGCACAAGTACGACTGCTGCAGGGAGAGACTGTGATGACATCAGATTGCAAACTCTTTTAGCCAGGCTGAATTCATTCCAAAGGCTCTATTTGGCAACTGTATTCTTAAATAACAAAAATTATCCTATTTGAAAAACAGAAAGCACAAGGTTGTTTACTGCTCAGTAATTATTCAGTATAATAGAAATTAGGTCAGGCAAGCAATTAACACATGTAAATGCAATAAAAAACAGCAATGAACAATACAAATACCAATTTATCGTGTATGCAGACTCTGTCACACACTCCCAGCCATGATTATAAGTCATTACATTTCTCTAGATGACCAAAAATAATTTTCTTCCTATCAAATTTCATGATTTTCAGTTTGATGTGTTGTTTTTCTCCAAGCAGACTGAAAGCTCCTTGATACAACTATGTACTGATTCATGATTATCATGATTTTATCCCTAGCACATAGCACAGAGTAGGTGATCAATATTTGGCAAAAGGATGATCAGATATTTTAAAGTAACTCAGAAATCAAACAACTTAGCAAAAGATAGGCATTTTTAAAAATGGTATTTTCTAAATAACACATATATTGTATCTATCAATATTTATTAATGAAATGGTTTAGTCTGAAGAGAACTTATATCCTGTAGTAAGGGTGATTAATGATTAATATAGGATTTTTACAGAATTTTTCTGTAAAGAAAACCTTTATAAAATTTTAATAATTTTTATATTCAGTCTAATTTGCACTAGTCATATAGTTTCTTTTTTTTATTGAAGTATAGTTGATATACAATCTTACATTGGTTTCAAATATATAAGTAGTTTCTTTAGATAAAATGTAAAAAGTAGTTTCTTTAGATAAAATGAAAATTTTCAGTTTATTGGAGTTTACCATTTGTTTCACAGAATCACATACTTATCACAGCAGCAGGAGTGGAGTACAAAGAACCATCTTTATCTACTCTTAAAACAAACAGTATCAGATATAGTTAGTTCTTATTCTGGATTAACAGCTTTAACTGAGTTTAAGCTAAAACTGCTTTCACTAAAAACCATCTTGATTCCTTTCACTAAATCTGTAGTATGAATCCAGTATATTACATGTTGCTTCTGAACATAAAACAAAGTGTATGGGTCGGTGCGTGCCAAGGCCATTAAAGGAACCACTATAAACCCGCCTCTTGGGAAGATTATGGAAAATTTAGTAGCTAGAGCCCTTTGAATGGAATCTCAGAAAGAGACACCTTAATCTGTATGCTAACCACTTAAAATTTTACAATCCAGTATATTTCTCTCCTAATAGTAAATTAATAATGTTGCTGTTTTCCTTATATGTAAATACACTGGGTCTTTCCTATGTTGAAACAGTAAATTATCAAATTTTAGAAGTTTGCGCTCAGCTAAAGTGCTAAATGCTGCCACATAAAAAAGGGAGAGAATTCATCTAATCCTTAAAGTCCTATTAACTACTGAACAGAAATTATTTATTCTACATTAAAATAAGGTCACTAAAATGCACACACTTACAATTTGTAGATATGGTATACTGACGTTAAAGCTGCCATTCATATTTGCATGCCACACAATTCTCACATTGGTAATAAAAAAACTTCCTAAATTTCCCTTCAAAACAGAATGAGAGATACATCAACAATCATTTGTTGGCATACTTACTCTTTATTTTCTAAACACCAGAATAATTCTGATTATCACAGCAGCAGAGAATAGCAGATGGCAGTACAACTGGACAACTAAAAGCCTGCACTCTGGAGTTAAGATTCTAGTCATTACACTGTCAGCACTTAACAATTGGCTGACCATGGGCAAATTTCTTCTTGGTGCATTGTATGGAGATATGATAAAAATAACCCACGAAAATAAAGCCCTTAGTGTCCAGTGGATAGTAAATATTCTATAAGTGTTAGATCTTATTATGACCACTGTTCAAAACCTGAGATAAGTTGAGACAAACGAGTTGCAGGAAGAGACAGAACAAGACATGTATGATAATTCCCATCAATCCACAGAGTATTTCATGGTTAACACTGACTATAAATCTAAACTGTTTCCCAGTTACATGGCCCCTGGACATCTACTCAGAATTATCCCACCATGATAGCTAAGTGGTCTTAAAAAATTTTTAATGCCTAATAACATGGTACCAAAATTATCACCTCTACCATTTATCTATCATTTTCTAGCTCTACTTCCACCTCCTCCCTACCATATTCACCTGGTGGAATTTTCTTTATTTTATTCTTTGAGATTGGCCATAAAACATTAAATCAAAAACTCCAAACCTAGAAATCCCTCTTTTGGGATGGCAAGTTTAAAGCATCAGAAAAGACTATTTCAAATTATGATTAAATTAATAAACATACATACAAGTATATATACTTCCCTTCTCCACTCATCTTGCAAGAAATTGTTATACAAAAAATTTTAGCCCCCGTTATTCCTGGCCCAAGTCCCATTAAATTTTACCAAGTCTAACTTCATAAGCAATAATTTTTTATGTCATTTTTTCCTATTTTAGGAAAGAACTTGCATAACTCCAAGACTTTTTAAAATAATGGGGCATATTTTGTTTGCTTTATTGTTTTTCAACAAACGTAAGTTAGGTTGATAATAACCCCTATTTTCAATAAAATGATATTTCTGATAATCCTGGAACATTTTAATTACTTCATTTAAAATGCCAAGTGTTGTGCTAGCTGGTAAGGCTCTAACTATGAACAAAGTAACTTCACCCCTACCACCATAAGATCTACAATCACAAGGGGGCATACACAAGCTCTGTATTTTAGGGTAATAATAATCTGGAGTGGTGATTAGGTACAGGCTGCATAAGGAGCACGCAGAAGGAAGCTTTCAGAAAGTGACATTTAAGCCATGGGGCTAGTGAACTATGGTCTGTGGGCCAGATCTGGCCTGCTGCCTCACTTTGTATGGCCTACAATGTAAGAATGATTTTTAGATTTTTAAATGGTTGGAAAAAAGGTCAAAATAATAATATTTCATGACACACGATCATGTTGAAATTCAAATTTCAGTGTCTGTAATAAAGTTTTATTGAAACAGTCATGGCTCACTTGTTTACTTATTGTCTATGACTTGTTTCATACTAACAATGGCAGGACTGAGAAATTCTGACAGTAATTGCATGGCCTAGAAAGCCTAAAATATTTACCATCTGGCCCTTTACAGAAAACAGTTTGTTGATTCCTGTTTAGGAGTTATTCAGATGGGGAGCTGTCTATAGCCTATAAAATCTTTATCATAGTTTAAATCTACAACTTGTCAAATGAGCAAAGTTTATTTACAATTTAAGTATATGAATCAGTGTTTAGCAAAAAGCTCTTCATTCACATGCTATAGACTTAATACAGTGGCTACCAGTCAAATCTAGGTTGTAACACACTCAAAGGCTGGAAACTACTCTTAGTAAAAGAAATTTTTCTCTAGAAATTGATGTGTGACTCAGTTCAACTATTAGTTGCTTATATGTTTCAAAGGCCATAATTTCAAAAGCAAATGAAAAGTTACCAGTAATGGATGTAGGAGTCATCAAATCGGTTATATATCTAATTCCATAAAGACCAGATTAAAAAGCCTCTGTGACTGTCCACCCATAGCTCTCCTCCATCAGCATAAGTTATTAAGATGAGTGTAGCATGGTCTATAGGGAAGAGCATAGCTCTGGGACGAACTAGATGTCTGAGGTAACTTCCTTGGGTCCTGAGATTTTCATCTAATGGATAGGGACTGAATTAAATAATCTTTAAGGTCTATTCAAGCTCTAAATTCTATGTAGAAGAAATGTTGCTAAAAATAGCACAAAATCATAACAATACAAAAATCAGAGTAATATTTTATATAAAGAGCTATAATACTATAATGCTAATTTCAACAGAATTAAATGAATATACAAAATGATTACCAAAGCACTGCCCCAAAAGGTCATTAGTTGCACAATACCTGATCACTGGATAAATTCCATACTCCATTGATTTTATCATATACATGTTCTTGTGGTAATAATTTTAGTTGCTTATTTTGAATTAGTGCACTTCTCAATTTAAAATCACGATACATTTTAGAAGTTTCATATGCTCTGTGAAAAAGAATAAACAAAAGACTAACCCAAAATGAAAATGTGGTTTTCTTAGGTTATGCTTATTTATCTACTAAAATATACAGTTATTAGTACTTACATACATCACTTAAAAGTTATTATAATAACTAAAATAATTTTCTTTCCAATGTTTTGGTGATTACAGTCTTTTGTCAACTTTGTCATTTTAGTGTAGTATTTACACATATTATCTCAGCAGCCCATTTTTAGATGTTTAATTTCTAAGGTAACATGTATCATTCAACACAAATGAAAGGAAACATTGCTTGTGTATAACAGACATAGAAACTATTCTATCAAAATGCTTCCTTTCATTTCTTTGTTTTAGTAAAGGCACCATTATGCTTTTTATGTCAATAGGAGTCCTATTATTTTTCTTCCTGCAACCTGAAAACATTACGCTACATCTACCTCTGTATAGAAAATGAATCTGTGCCAACTCCAAAGAGAACCCCAGGACAAGGGTGTGTATATCTGTGTGTGTGTAAAATTCCTATGGCTTTTCCACATCACTAATTATCAGGGAAATGCAAATTAAAACCACAATGAGTATCACCTCATGCCAGTTAGGAAGGCCAACACAGAAAAGGACAGGAACAACAAATGCTGGCGAGGATGCGGAGAAAGGGGAACCCTCCTACACTGCTCGTGGGAATGTAAACTAGTTCAACCATTATGCAAAGCAGTATGTAGGTTCCTCAAAAAACTCAAAATAGAAATACCATTGGACCCAGGAATTCTACTCCTAGGAATTTACCCTAAGAATGCAGTTTCCCAGTCTCAAAAAGACATATGTACCCCTATGTTTATCGCAGCACTATTTACAATAGCCAAGAAATGGAAGCAACCTAAGTGTCCATTAGATGAATGGATAGAGAAGATGTGGTACATATACACAATGGAGTATTTATTCAGCCATAAGAGGAAAACAGATCCTACCATTTGCAACAACATGGATAGAGCTAGAGGGTATTATACTCAGTGAAATAAGCCAGGTGGAGAAAGACAAGTACCAAATGATTTCACTCATCTGTGGAGCATAAGAACAAAGCAAAAACTGAAGGAACAAAACAGCAGCAGACTCACAGAACCCAAGAATGGACTAACAGTTGCCAAAAGGAAAGGGACTGGGGGTGGCGGGTGGCAAAGGAGGGAGGAGGGGAATAAGGGGCATTACGATTAGCACACATAATGTAGAGAAGGGGGGGCACGGGGAAGGCAGTGGAGCACAGAGAAGACAAGTAGTGATTCTATAGCATCTTACTATGCTGATGGACAGTGACTGTAATGGGTATGTGGTGGGGACTTGATAATGGGGGGAATCTAGTAACCACAATGTTGCTCATGTAATAGTATGTTAATGATATAAAAAAAATCCCTATAGCTTTGTTTTCTTTCTCTTCAGGTCCCCCTGTTGATAAATACAGATGAAAATTATGTATTGATTATTAGTTTTGATTAACTTTACTATAACTTTTGGTCACTTCTAATTTTACTTTACAAAAATAAAGGCTAATGTATTACCCATTTAATAAAACTAAAGAGTTTTCTTAGGCTTAATAACTTCAGAAGTCATTTATATGAATCATAATATTCATTGTTAAACTTTTGATTTTTACTTTAACTAACCTTGTAATATATAAATTGTTGAAGAGCAGGATTCAAGCATTTGCCTGTAAATCCTAATTTCCTTTAGTGCTGTAATCATTAATATTTAACCAGAGGAAAAAGTGGTGAACTATTTATACTGTATATTATTTTGGTGGAACATTTATAACATTTTTATACTACTAAAGAAAAGCAGCTTCTATGCTTTCTTCATACCCCATTTCCTATTACTTTTATCAGTAAAGTAATAAAGAATTAAGGTTTAGGTACATGACCAAAAGAACTGAAAAATATGTCTTAGACAAAACTTGTATATAAATGCTCACGGCAGCATTATTCATAATAACCAGAAAGTTAAATCAACCCAAATGTCTATCAACTGATGAAAGGATTAACAAAATACGTGTCCATACACAGTGAAATATTATTCAGCTATAAAAAGGAATGAAGTATTGATACATGTTGGAACTTGGAAGGACCTCAAAAACATTATATAATTGAAATAAGTCAGAAATAAAAGGCCACTATATTGTATTACTCCATTTATATGAAATGTCCAGAATAGGTAAGAGACTGGTAAGTAAATCAGTGGTGTCAGGAGCTATGAGGAGGAAGAAATGGGGAGTGACAGCTATAAGGGTTTCCTTTTGGGGTTATGAAATGTTCTGGAATTGGGTATTGGTAACAGTTGCACGACCTTGTGAATATACTAAACTATAAACTTTAAAATTTACCATTTATGTTATGTGAATTATAACTGAAAAAAATTAAACCATTATATGTAGATTTAAAAAATGATCAACAAAATTCAAAATCAATTAACAAACTAGGAAAGTAAAAAATAAATTTTCAACATATGACAGGGGCATAATTAAGAAATTTATAATAGAAAACTATACATAGCCAAAGAAAAGAAAAATTTCAACATTATAGTAATAAGGAAAATGCAAATTAAAACCTTGGTATAAATGTATTATATACATGTATGTGCATGTGTGTGTGTGTATAAGTTTGTATGTATGTATTTTTTGCCTGTCATCTTAGCCAAGTTTTTAAAAAGATCATAGTACTTAGGGCTGGTTAAAAAAAAGCTGAGGTAGTGAAAAGAGATGCATTTAGCAAATATAAAAGAAAAACTCTTTGGGGAAAACACTTAAACATGCCTTCTATTGCTAGAAAAATAATTTTTTAATTCATTTATTGAGTTATCCAACTTGGTTATCTTCATTGAAAGGATTCTCTATTTCACTGTAACTACCATAACTAGTTAATTATATAGAATCTTCAGTAGAAATTTTTATGAATTTTCAGTAGTCTTATGGGTTTTATAAATACAATGTGTTCTCTATATCTAATATTCATATATAAATACAGGATTTTGCAACAGAGCTTGGAGGAAGATAGCACACCTCTAAGCTTTATCCTCTAAACTTTCATATATAGAATTACCTTAAAAATATTCAATAATATGTAAAGTACTGCCATACCTGTGTACTGCAATCACAGAAGTAAAGAGTCTAGGACTTCCGGGAACCAAATTTGTAAATATAAACTCAAAACGAGTACTGTTACATTTTGTTAGTATATAAAGAGCTTCAGTTTGGCCTCGTAATTTCTGTAAGGACAAATTTATTTAAAAGTTCAGGTTTTAAAAGCAATTTCTCATTTACAGTGAAAACAAACCTCAACCTCAAATATCCAATATTTCTTCTCTATATACATTTCAGTAAGATTTTTCAGACTTACAGAGTTAGCAGTCCTTGTTGTAATATTCAATATGCAGTTGTAACCGATGGCTAAAATTCAAAAGCAAAGAATTTAAAGAATATGATACAATAAACTGAGGAAAAAATCTATACAGAATTTTTAGTAGTTTTAAATATATATATAAAAATAGAACTAAAAATTTTTATGAAATAATTACAAACTTCAGCTGTATAAGTAAAAGAACAGGAAAGTTAATTCTGCCTCTTTGAACAAAACTAAAACATCTACAACATGGGGAAAAAGGAAGTTTGCTTCTCTAAAGCCTATACAGGATTATCTACTGCATATCTTAGCACCACTACATCAAGAGAAAAAGTCTAGCTAGATAACCTAAAATAGTCTTTCAAAATAAGTGAAACAACATTTAACAAAATAAAAGGCTGTACTTTTATTAGACTTCAGATCTCTCTTCTTTGGGATTACCTGAAACAGGTAATAGCAAGTTTCAAGATAAGCAAAAATAAAAACAAAAATCATTCACTGTAAAAGCACCATCTCATATTATGTCCAAGAGACAAAATGCACAGAATGAAAAATATTTCTTTTGCATAATGATGCAGTCTGTGGTTAGTTTAGGATTTCTTAAGTTTTTATCAATTTAAGTCTCCCACATATTTCACGGAATAGCTTTTTGGTATCAAAAGCCACTGTATAAGTTTACTTGACAAAGTATTTTTCCTTTAGTGTTACCTAACAAAGATACTTACAAAGATTGACTCTGGGTAATGCCAAAGAGTGCCAGATAATTCTTAAATTTGTTACTAAGAGTCTACCTAAAAGCAAGCAGAAAAAAATTCATTACTATAACTAAGGGACCCATTTTGGCAGTACAGAATGAGGAAGATATAGAACTTCTGGCCCAGTATCAGTAAATACTACAGATGTTTTAAATATACTTATTAATTTAAAGTATTTATTGCACATATTTATCCTATGTAAGGCATACAATGTATCATTCAGAATCCCAGAGAAACAGAATCTAAGAGTTATAGAAGGGCACAGGTATTCACTGTCAACACAGCCTGGTTTGACTCAAACTGATAGAGGAAATTGCACATTGTTCTGTTTCTTTGTTTGTTTTTGTTTTTGTTTTGGTAGAAGCTACTCTGAAGGTCCTGGCAGGTCTTATGTGTACAACTGGGAATGAGTATGGAATTGTATAATTACAAAGCCTCAGTGAAATCACACTTCTCAAAGAATCTCACATATACACTCTAACATGTGGGTGGCTCTCTTTAACAGTCTTCATTTAAATGAACCATATACTTATATACCTTTTTTTCTTTTCTCACATGAAGTTATGGCCAGGTTGAAGTCTGTTTAAGGCTTTATGCTTTTCATTGTTAGCCTCAGATTGATATTATTACAGTGAAATACACTGTTGGATAACTTCATTTCTCAAAGTGTGTGGAATAGTAGCCCTACAGATACTGCAAGAAGAAAAAAAAAAGGTCAAGTAATCTTCACATGGTAAATTATGTGTCTTAGAGATTTATAATGCAATCAGCATATTAGGACAGCTTTGAGGTATCCTGAAATAATAAAACTCACTTAACTCTGCTTAACACAAAATTTCAACAAACAAACCTTAGTATTCTCTTATGTAACCTAAGGCCAGATCATAATTCTTCCTCCATAAAAAACCTCTAGAATACCCAAAATTAAAGAAGCTAAGTCTGTTTGAATGCTGCAGTGAAATGGGGTGGGAGGTTCCAAAAATAAAGGAAGGTATTCTCAAGAGAAACTGGAACATTACATGATATGTTTTACAAAAATAAGTAACACAGCATGGTTATATGTAAGGTCCACACAAGATCACAGAAGAGTAAACATTGCATCTATCAGCTGGGATCAAATAAAAAACAGATGGTACACTCAAATTAGAATAAATGACATTTATTTACAAAAGAACTTACTACAAAGGCACAGATAGGACGTCAGGAACCGCTGAGTGAGTGCAGCAGACCTCCTACTCCACCAGCCCAATGGGAGAAGGATAGGAGGCAATTAACCAAATTTGGGAGGAATGAGTCTGTAGAGCTGAATGCTTTGAGAGGAAAGAACCAGGGAATAAATACCCAGGCCTCACCCTCCCGCCTCCCTTGGACCTTCTGCCATGGCTCTTCCAGCCAGAAGGTAGAGCACACAGGGAACCCTTTGATGTAGTCTCTCTCCAGTCTTCCTACGGAAGGGGAAAAGGGTGGACTCAAAGGGATGACTGGAAGACAGTGGAACAGGCAAGAAAGGTAGTTTGTGCACAAATCAGAAGTTATTCAATGCTAGACCAAGAAATTCAGACTTAGATCTGTTAGCAATGGAGGCAGTATAGTTGGGATAGGGTTTAGAATTGGGACTGGAGAGATCTGAAATTTTTTGAGAAAAGAATAACATGATCCTAGAAATTCAGAAGGCAATGTAGGCAGTTTGGTTCATCACTTGTAGCTATGTGATCTTGGAAAAGTTAATTAACCTTCCTCTTCCTCAGTTTCCTTGTTTGAAAAAAAAAGATAATAGCAAAGGTCATATATGGAGTAGGTCTACTGCATTTTTTGTTTCATTATCTTTGTTATTAAATGAGATTACACACATTCTATAAAAGATTGAGAACAGTGACTGGCAAATAGTAAACATTTAAAATGTTAACTTCTATTATTTTTCAATATTTTAATTCTTTACAAACTTATTTTTATGACTTGATTTTGTTATTATAGATATATTGACTTATGTTTTCCTTATGCCATTTCATATAAGTAACACTGTGTCTCTACAACTTGGCTATAAGCCCAGAACGTCCATTGATTCTTTGTTTTTCTATTAGAAGATGACAGAAAAAATCATGGGGTGGGAAGAGTTTTTGCCTTATAAAACCGCCCAGCTCTGTTTTCCTGCTTTTCTGTTCTTGGTGCCTCTCCTGAAAGTTCCTAGCCTTCTTATGTCATCTCCTTTCTGCTGGAAGACACCGCCTGAGAGTTACTAGTCCACGGTTTCAGGCATGGACTTTTCTCTGTCCTCTCAAACACCAAAATATCACTGTCCTTACCATCTCCTAATCTCCCAAACACTGACATATAGCTGTATCATTCTTATATAGCCTCACTGTGCAAAGCTAATCTTGATAATTCCATGTCAGGGCACTTACAGTTGAAATGGATGAAATGTGGTATTCTTTTGGGGGTATTTATAGTTTTAACATTGGGTGTCCTGAACTTGGCAATGCCTTAACTTAGTCATTCTCAAACTGATGGAAAGCAGGGGTATCTTCTCTACCTTATTAACCAGAAGTTCTGCACACTCCTGTAAAATTCCATTTTCTGATGAATTGTTTCTGAAGTGTGAGCACACACAGTTATTTTTATTAGTAGTGAGATTTCAGGCATTATGATGGAGATATCTAACCAGGGAAGTGTTTTTCCCTCCCTACTCCAAAATGCTGGTATAGGATTCTGCACTCAATGAGTACTTCATGAATTGGAAAATTTCTATTACCCATAGACTGCTTGGACTGATGGATGGACTGTCACCTAAGAGTTCCTGCCAATCTGGATTCTGGGAAAAAGATGGCAGAGTAAGAATGGAAGGCAGAAACCTCCTCTCAAAAACACATACCACACAAAAATATAGCAAACAACTAAACCTGAAAATTACCTGAAGACTGCAGGACTACCTACATGTAGGGAAGAAGAGAAGACCTCACAGAAAAAGGCAAAGTGGGAAAGCTGAGACATGGCGGGATGCAAGCCCTCCCCCAACCCCAGGCCACAAGCAGGAGGAGGAACGAAGTGGGGAGGGGACAGAAGCACAGGACTGTTAAACACCTGGTCCTGGAGATCTGCTCCAGGAGCAGGAGCCCACATTACATTACATGGTGCTCTGGTGATCAGTGGGGTGGACAACAAAGACAGGCGGAACACTTGGAGGGCTAAGATTCCAACTGCTTGTGGAGAACAGGTATGCTCTACTGGCCCCTGGAGACAAAAGCAAAGCAGGCAGTTCGAAAGACTTCCCAGCAGTGGGAGGGACACCAGAGGGGCAAGGGTTACATGGAGCTCTTTGCTCAGGAGAAAAGGCAGGTGAACAACATCTCCCCAGCCTGCTCTTAGCCTAACAGGATGGGAACTCTTGGGAGCCCCAAATGCTCAATCCCCCCAATGGCAATACAGCCCCGAGACTCCTCCCTGCAGCGCACAGCCTGCAGACAGCCCACATGGCCTGGCAATGCTGTCAGACTTTGCTGCCAGATAGGGAGATGGAGACCCTCCCAGCTTTCTTGGTCCTCTTTCAACCCAGCCAAGGAATTGCCTGCAGGAGCCAACCCGAGGAGCTCCTTCTTCCCAAGGGGTGCAGGATCCCGTATAACAGGCCTGGGCAGAAACACACAACAGCCTGCACACCCCATTAACCCTGCAGCCCTCACACTGCTGCAGCCCAGGCAGAGAGCGGCCCCACCCAAAACAACTCCAGGACAGACTTCTGCACTGATTACAAATGCACGGCCAAAGCAAACAGCCCACCTGAAATCAGATCACTACAAGCCAGACAGAAAGGTGCCCTGTCCACTGCATGCTAACAGCTGAGTTTCCAGCACTGGAAAGTGAAGTGTCTTGAGCTTCTGGGCACTAGTGGGCACCTCTTCCAGAAAGCTATTACTCCACAGGAAACACTGAAAAAATGAGGCAGAAGAATTTGTTCCACACAAAACTACAAGACAAAGCACCAGAAAGAGGGCTGAATGAAACTGAAATCACCAAACTTTCTGATAAAGATTTCAAAGTTAAAAAAGTCATAAACATGCTCACGGATCTCTAAAAAAATTTTCAGGATCTCAGGGAGGACCTCAACAAACAGACAGAAGACCCACAAGAGAGCCACTCAGAGCTGAAGAATACAGTACCTGAAATAAACATACAATGGAAGGATTTAATAGTAGACTTTCATAGGTTGAAGAAGTTGTAAATGATTTAGAAATTAGAGAGCAAGAAAACAATGAACCCAAAAAACAGAAAGAAAAAAGGATCTCTAGGAATGAAAGAATGATAAGAAGAGAACTGTGTGACCAATCCAAATGGAAAAATATTTGCATAATAGGGGTACCAGAAGGAGAAGAGGGAGACAAAGGGATAGAAAGTGTATTTGAGAAAATAATTGTTGAAAATGTCTCCAATCTGGGGAAGGAAACAGACACTTGGGTCATGGAAGTACAGAGAGCCCCTAACAAAAAGAACTCCAGGAAGACAACATGAAGACATATAATAATTAAAATGGCAGAGATCAAGGACAAGGAGAGAGAACTGAAAGCAGACAGGGAGAGAAAAAAGACCACTTATAAAAGAAACCCCATCAGGCTTTCAGCAGACTTCTCAGCAGAAACCTTACAAGCCAGAAGGGAAAGGCATGATATATTTAATGTAATAAAACAGAAGGACCTCCAACCAAGAATATTCTACTCAGAAATGTTCTAAGGCTAAACAGCTTTCACCAGTGAAAATAAACCCACAGGTAGTAGACCAATTAATTACTAAGCAAATATGAAATTAAATCAACTACTCACAAAATCAGTCAAGTGATACATAAAAAGTGCAGAATATGACACCTAATACAAAAAGTGTGGAGGAGGAAGGGGAGGAGGAAGTACCTCTAGACTGTGTTTGAAATAATTACCAATTTAAGATAGACTATTACATAGTAGCGAAGTTATCCTTGAACCTTTGGCAACCACAAATCTAAAGCCTATAATAGATAAACCAGAGGAAAAAAAAAAGAGAGAGAAAGAAAATCTAACTACAACATTAAAGAAATCTATCATATAGTAACAGAAGAAGTAAAAGAAACCCCATCAGGCTATCAGCAGGAAAAAAGAGGAAAAAAGGAACAGAGAGGAGATATAAAAACAAGCAGAAAACAATTAATAAAATGGCAGTAAGTACATATTTATCAATAATCATCTTAAATGTAAATAGACTGAATTCACCAATCAAAAGACACAGGGGAACAGACTGGATAAAAAACAAGACCCATCTATATGCTGCCTACAAGAGACTCATTTCAGATCCAAAGACATACACAGACGAAAAGTGAAGGGATGGAAAAAGATAGTTCATGCACATAACAGGGAGAAGAGCTCCTGCCAATTCATATGAGAACAACCAAACTTTCTCTTGGCTTCCTCAGGCTAATTCATGTTTTGTCAAGATGTGGCCATCTAGACAATATTCTACTCTCAAAGGCACAAACTCCTTTCCCCTAAAAATCTCTTCTCCCCTAAAAAGACTTGTTTGCTGCTAGATCTTATCTTACTCTCACCTGGGGTTGGCTGACATTAGGAAACATTTCAGAAATGTGATCTAAGCATTCCTTTAAGGATGGGCCCTAGCCATTGACAGAATCAGCCTGTAGCTAGTGGTGATGACAGGTTTCCCTCACCTGTCCTTCACCAGAGAAGAAAGGCCCACAAATGAGCCTGCTGCTTATACACCACCCCAAAGTCGACCAGAAGAAAGTCAGAGAGCAAGTGACTACTTACTTGAAAGGCTGCAGTGAGCCAAGAGAGACTATTCCATCTCCGGGACTTACTAATCTTCATCTGTTCTGCTAAGTAAGGGTTACTGCTCCATTTCTAGGATTTTCTGATCCTTTTAACTTGAATGGGGTCTGCTCCTTTTCCCCACTTACTCTTCTTTTGAATAAGAGATTTATGTCCTACCCTCCTAAACCTCCCTCCCCTAAAAAACCATTTCCAACACACTAAGCTGTCTATGCATCCCCTATTTTTTTCATTGAAGTACAGTAGTGATGCCTATAAATCCTGCTGATTGCTGCATACTGGCTTCATGTAGAGCTGATGTATACAGCCTGGACTTTTTAAAGTTCCAGACTTGGGGAAATTTGGTTTGGGAGGGACTCTAGTGTCCAGACCTGGCTGCTTCTCAGTGACATTCAGAGACATTGCACAGGTTTTCCACTGCTTAACCTACAGATAGACTTCATAACACAGCACCAAATTTGCTCTCCATATGTCCATCTCTAGGTATCAGCCTTAAGGGACTGTGCATTACTCTTGGATTTCTTAAGAGGTAACACAGCTATGACCTGCCATTACTCTACACATATTCTTTTTGTGGGGAGGCAGATCCAAAAGTGAGCCCCTTGCAAAGAGGGCTTCTAGAGTTTTAAAAGTTATATTTGATAAAGTGGATGTCAGCACCAGGACTTACAGTTCTGACACAGAAACTGATTATCTGGCTACAGGTTCAATACCTACCCTTTCTTCTGGTTCAATCTGAGAAGTCTTATGTAGATTTAAATCTCCCACTCTTACAATTAAATTCGCATATAATGTAGTTTCATATCTCATTCTCCAGCTAACATGATTTAACATTTGTAAATAAAGCCAGAAATATATTAGAAAATATACTCACCTCTATCCCCATTATTTCCTTTGGTGTCTTCAATTGAATCTAAACAATCAATAAGAACTTCTCCAGGTCTTGTTTTCATTTGTCTAAAACAAACATAAAAGTTTTAATTTTATATTAAATAAAATTATTATTTATGCCTTAGAGAGAGTTGTAAGCTTCAACCTATACTAATCTAGTTAGGGAGAGAAGAGACATATGCATATAAAACTGCCAACAATACAAGTGATACAGTACCAAATGCTCATGCATTTTGAAAATGAGGTCTCCAAGAACTTTAAGAATCTGGAAACAAGTGGGGCCTGGAGTGACCAGGAACATATACAGAACTCAGAACTAGATGGAGAGGTAGGAGCTGCAAAATAAGACAGACAGAGGAGTGTCCATGATCAAAGAACAGAACTAAGAAAAAAGGAAATATCAGAAAACTGGATTGCCTGGGGAAGACAGTCCATGCTGAAAGGTAATGAGAAATACAGTAAGGAGGAACCAGACTATTGGGAACCTTGAATGCCATTCAGATAGGTAAGGGCCTTATCCCACGGAGAGTGGAGATCCATAGGTTTCTGAGTAGAGGGAAAGGAGGTCAGTCATGGAAGGACAGGTTAAAGCAAAGCACTGTCAGGACTTCTTGATAAACAACTAGACACAGGAGACAAAAGGAAATAAAGAATGAAGAATAGTTTGCTGACTAATAGAACACATTCTGAGGTATCAAAACAAAAAAACAGAATATGTGGTAGAGCCTTCTAATATATTCTCCATTGAGCCAACTCAATTTTACCTAGTAAAAATACAGATATGATCATATCACTTCCCTGCTTAAGCCTTTCACGTCATTCCACTACCTAAAGTCCAAAATCCTCAGCTGAACAATCTGGCTAATCTACCTTTCTATTTGTACCTCCGTTCTCTACCTGCCAGATCCTGCCTTCAAGCCAATGAAGTTTATTATTCCGAGACTCTGCTTCTAATGTTTGTTTGGTTGGTTTCCTCTGTACTACTCTCATTTTGTCTGTCTACTCTGACAAGACCCTACCCATTCTTAAGGGCTCAACTCTAACATTATTTCTGCTTTGGGGCCTTCTGTAGGCAAAATGAACTACTCTGTTTTTATGGTCCCCAGTTTTTTGTTCATTTTATTTTTCAGAATGGTATTTACAGTTTTAAAGTTAATTGTCTGGGTGTGTCTCTTGCACTAGAATGGAGATGGGGAGGATAATAAGTTCCTATTCCTGGTATCTCTAGCTATCAGTGTTACGAAAAATACTGCAAAACCTGGACTGGATCACTGACGAAGAACTATGCGGCACTTGGAGGTCTTGGAGTTTTGAGGTTTATTTTACACTGGTGGGCCCGGAGGATAGCCATCTCCCAAGGTCTGAGCCTTGAGCACAAGCAAGGGAACAATTTATATTATTTTGCTATGTGGCATTTCGGCATGTGCAGGGCAAAAGAGGAGCCTGGAGGAGGGGAGGAGGGGGCTGGGAGGGCTTTGCCAACCGGAGGAAAAGCGGTTTGCTGACCTTGACGGCTGTGTTGAATATTTTTCTTATCCTGATATCTCTAGCTATCAGCACGGTGACCAGTAAATAGTACGCATTTGATAAATGTTTAATAAATCGAAAATGCTTATGAAATGGACCTCTGCTTGGATTAAGAACCCTCCAAGAATAAGAGAAAAAGCCATGGAACGTGTGGAATATGTAACTAGCTTAAAAGTTTAAAATTCCCTTCCCTCACAACATGAGGGATCTAAGACCATGCTAGTATAAGATATCTAGCCACAACTAAGCCTGGGAGATTAATAAATCATTTTCTATCCAACAAACTTCTGTTCCTGTTAAGGAATCTGTAAGAAGTGGCTTAGAAGCTCCATCCTGTTAACTCAAGCTTTACTATTCCAATACTTAGCATCCCAATGGGATTCCCCCACACCGACATTTGGCTAAGAGGATCCTAATTATTATTCTTTAAAGCATGACATTTTCCAAAAACAGGGTTTCTGTTTGAGAGGCTCCAAAAGAGCAGCCACTTCTTCCTAGTGATTCAGATGACTACTGAGATGGCGGCTTATCACGGAAATAAACTCTGCGTCATTAGGAATTTTGGAGTTCGCAGACTCCCGATCTTCCGTGTTTTACAGACGAAGAGGCTCAAGCTTAGAAACGTGAAGGCTAAGGGCCCACCACGTGTGTCGCTATTCCAGATCGTTTTAGACCCCTGGTTTCGGACTGCCTGGCCTCCGTTCCTTCCACCACAGGAAACTGGCTCTCCAACTGCCTCGGATGGCCTGGGCGGTCCCTGCGGTGTTTACCCGGCGTTCTGACCGCGCGCCCGGGCCAGGCCAGGGCGAGGGACCGCGCGGAACACACACTGCGAGATCCACGCGTTCGGGACGCGGCGCCGGCCTGGCGGGGACCCAAGCGCTGGGAAGAGGCGCGACTGGCCCCCAGCCTCGCGAGCCCCGCGCTGTCCGGGCACAGGCTCCGCCCGCGGGCCCTACAATTGCCCAGCGGCGCCCTCTGAAGGCTGTCGGTCCCTGAGGAATCCCGGCAACTCACTGTGAAGACACGTCGAAGCGGACGTCTCGGTCCTCCCACAGCGCATCCAGCACGGACATGGTAACGGTGCCGCGCAGTCCGGACTCTCCGTCGCGGGGGAGGCCGAGCGGCGTCTCCTGGCTCTCAGGCAACGGGCCACCTCCGTCACGGGGTTTACGGCGGCCGCCGAGACCCAAGTTTCCTAGAGTTGGGCGTGCGCTCTCCCTGTTCCCGTCGCGTCCGTAAGCGGACTGGAGGCTGGAGGGAGGGGTCCGCGGTTCAGAGGAGCCCAGCTGGCCCGGACCGGGAGCGGGGGCTTGGCCTCTGATAGGCCTTCCTGGCTTCCAAACACACATTCGTAAGCCATTGCACCCATTCCCCCTTTTACTCTACACCGTCAAGAAATTAAGACCGAAACCTGAATTCCTCGCCGTCCGCCTCTCTCCTGGCCCTGCCCCCTCCTGCGACCTGCCTGCCTCTCCCTCTCCCTCCCCTACCTTCCCGTCGGCTCAGAGTCTGCCGGAGGCCGCCTTCCTCGGTCTGGAACTCAGTTTCCCCAGATCTCTACGTGGCCCGCCCCCTAAGTCTCAGCTCAAATGCCACTGATGCTGTCCTGGGGGCATCCCCAGGACAGGCCCTGCCTACCAGGTTCGTTTTGAACAGTGCCTAGCACAGAGTAGACATTCAAAAGTACTTTTTCAATGAACCATAGTGCCTTCGTTCCTTCAACTCCTCACAGTTCTTTAAATCAGGGGTTTTCAAACTGTGATCTAGAGATCCCTGGGAATCCTCAAGATCCTTTCAGGGTACTCATAAGGTCAAACTGTATTCATAATAATATGAAGATATTTTAACTCTTTTTAACTCTCATTTATTCATTAAGTGCATAGTGAAATTTTCCAAAAGTCATATAATATGTAATTGAATGTAAAAGCCATTATGAGAATCCACCTATCTTCCAGTAAGTCAGATATTAAAAAGATTTGCAAAAATATAAATCAATGTTACTCTTCTCACAAATTTTTTTGGAAAGTGTTTTTTAAAAATGTTTATATATAATGAGTCTTTGTTACTGTTTAATGAATCAAAAATGAATTTTTAAATGTCTCAGTAAATATCAAGAGACATAACCCATATAAACAAAAGCTCTTTCAGGTCCTCAATAATGTTTTTAAAAGTATAAAGGTGTACTGAGATCAAAAGTTCGATAACTGAAACTTTTAATTACCTAGAGCCCGTATGTGTCGGACTGCCAAACACTACAGGTGCTAATGTAAAAAGGCAATGAATTTTTTCAGGTTGAAGAGGGTAAGGGAGACAAGGCCCCCAATGACTCATGCCCTTGTGAAATTTCCCCTCCTTGGGTGTGGGCAGAAACTGTGACTTGCTTTTAGCTAATAGCATATGGTAAAGATAATGAGATGTAAAAGAGATGGAATATCATCCCCATGATGATTATGTTATATAAGATTTGGTTTTTACTGACTGGAGAAAAAGAGACTTTCCTGCTTGCTCTGAAGAAGCCAGCTGCTATGATACAGACTTCAGGGCTGCAGCCTCAGTCACAAAGGTGCACGGAACTGAAATCCGCTAACAGTCTGAAATGGACTTGGAAGCAGATCTTCTGAGCAGATCTCTACTGAGGAGACCTCAGTGCTAGGAAATTTCTGGATTGCAGCCTGGTGTGGCCTTAAGCAGGAAGCCCAGGTGAACCATGCTTGTGAGACAGGGACCATGGGGTTAGACAGAGTAGGGTGAGGGCCTCCGGAAAAAGCAAGGTGAGATATTTACAGTCAAAGCAATGTAACAATGTAATGTCCCTGTCGAAACTCTGTGTTCAGCATTATGCAAAGTCAAGGTTCAGCATAATGCAAAGAATTAGTACACTAATTCTCTAGGGTGAAGATAATAGACTAGGAGTATAGACATTTTCAGTGAGATCAGTTAAAGGTCTAAAGGCCAGGAGCAACTTGGCCTGGAATGTGTGAGTGTTCCACTTAAATGGAACTAGCCCAGCTACAGTTATCAGTCTCGAGCGACAGGTTCCCCTGTGTCTCCCTCAGTGGATCCCCCATCTCCCTTGGGAGCCAGGAAGTCACCTGAGTGGACGCCAGGATTCCCCTTCAGAGGCATCTCCTCAGATGCGAGGGACTGAGTAAGGCTGTGGGCACCTGCGAGAGTCTAGGCTGCACTTCAGCGGCTGCACTTCAGCGGCTTCTCAAAGGCCCGCGTGTCTGGAATCAGACCCCAACAGCCCAACTGGGTATCTGTGAGTGTAAGGCTGGAGGCACCGGAGGGAGGAGTGAGCACCTCGGACACTGATGATGTGCCAAAGCCCCCGGCTGCTGCCCCCTCCCAACCTGAAAAATGTGCCTCAGGCGAGCCAATCCTCGTGCCACTGTAAATCTAAGCTCTGCCTCCCCCTACCTTCTTTAAAAACTCACTGCCTGCCCTGCTGAGTGTGACTTCCCCAGCCTGTGATAGCCAGGTGGGAGAATATCACCCAGGAATTGCGCTAAAATAAACTGCTTGGCCCTTTGTTGCCTCTCATCGCCTGCTTATTTTGGTTAAAATTTATTTTACATTTGGTGCCAAAATCCGGGAAGGAGCATGAGCCCGGGGCCCCGACTGGCCATCAGCAACCCTGCCCCCTCCTCTGACCCAGAACCTCAGCCTCTCTGCTGTGTGGACCATTTTCCAGTGAGTCCCTCAGTTTCCCCAGTTTGTTTCCCTTCCTAACTCCGTTACACCTGGTCCATTCAAAATTGTAGCTACATCTTTCGTTCTCAACCATGCCGCTGTCCTGCTCTCCTCTTCCGGTGGCTGCACCACCCCGTCCCCCTCTCCTTCTGCCTTCACCGTCCTCTTCCCCCACCAGAACACGCTTTTCCCGCCCTCTGGTTCCAGAAGCTATGGACAAGAAGCTAAAGAGAGAAAAGCAGTTGAATATCGGTAGTTCAAGTTTTTGTGTCAGTTTGTCTGTTTTTATGTAGAGGGTGTTGCTGACTGTGGCCGTTGTGTCTCAGTTTGTGTGTTTGTGTGTCTAGGTGTGTAAATGAAAAATATTTTCCTATCTCCGGATGGTATTAATAAAAATTGATTTAAAAACAAGCACTTGTGAAGATTGGGCATTCTCAAACTCCCAGAAAATATTAAGCATTAATGCTAATTTAAGTTGAACTGAAATGGACATGTCCCTATGGTTATCAGCTGCCTAAGTTTACCTAAAGTCAGTTAAGTTGAGGTTATCTGCTAAATCTTTCAAGAATAAAATGCTTAGAGGCTTGACTTTGTCTAATGTTCAGTAAAGGTTTTGTAAGTAACCTAGCATAGTTGTTAAGAATAAGTGAACTAAGTAAGTGTGGCAAATGAACACCTTAATAATTGTGGGAATCTTTGTGGTAACCTAAAACCTTAAAGTTTTGCTAAGTTAAAAAGATATACATTGTGCTTAGTGAGAGATTGTGCTGTAAAGCTCATGGTTACAGAAATTATGAAATGTGTTCATAAATTTGTCAATCTAAAGAATGTTAAACATTTACAATAGCCTACTTCTCAGTGTTCGCTGAAAATTAAAGTTCCTAATAGTTTTAAAGTCCAATTAAAGCTACTTAAAGAAGAAAACATCTCTACTTGCTAAAAAAAAGATGTGTTTTAATAAGAGAAAGTATAAAGAATGGAAATTCGTTTTGTTGAGGGTACAAAAAGATAATTGTTCTAAAGTACAGATATTTATTTAAAGAAGGAGAACACTGAATGTAAAAAAGAAAGTTATAGAAAGTTTGTAGAAGAATTGATATGGTCATGCTATATAAAATTAAAGCAAAAGAGTCTCGATATCAAGTACACAGAAAAATTAAAATTTTGTTTTCAGTTAAAAAGACTTTCTTAAAAAGACAAAGTTTTCTTAACTGTTAGTCTGCTCTTAATATTGAAAGATTGCAAAGGGTTCTCTAATTGTTTTATCAAAGCAGTTTCATGCTTAAAGTCTCAATGAGTTGTCTGAATATTTAAGAAAATGAAATCTTAATGTTTAAAAGACTAAAAGCTAAACTGTGCTAACAACTGTGTAACCTTCTTTATTTGCCTTTGAGGTATTTTGTTATTCTGGTTAAATAGATAAGTATTGCTTCATGGCAACCTATAATTCTATTTTAGCAAGTGCAACAAAAAAAAAAATGCAAAAAGGTGCTTTTACCTCTAGTTAACTGATATGTTCCAGAGGGCCCCTGGAACATATCAGAGGAATTTTTTCTCATTGGAGAAAGTATTTGGCTAATTTGGCTTATTTATCTGATATATAATTACCTGCTTAATTACCTAGAAAGCACTGTCACAGAAATGATACTAAACATTGTTACTGAATGTTTTGTTATAAAAATATTCAAATTTCCTTATGTCAACTGTCTTATAGTAAGCTCTTATCTGATCTTTAACCATTGTCATTTATAAGTCTTTTGTCATTTACAGCCACTGTTTTATTACTCCTAAGTGAGTAAAGAACTAGATTTCAGAACAAATATTAGTTTCATAAAATATTTAAGTAAGCTAAAGAAAATAATTTTGTGTCTTTTTGTTTCAAATCTTGCTGATAAAGTGCTTTAAGCTTTTTCTCTTAAGCTGACAACAGTTTAGTAAATAACTGTCTTTATAAGCAGAATTGAAACATTTATCTTTCTCTCTACCTGATCCCTCCAGGATTTAAAAACTCTCAGTGACTATTTTTATATTTCATGGCAGTATGTTTATTTTTCATAAGTTCAATAAGAACCTGCTTTCCTTGTAAGACAACCAGTTAAAAACACAGGTTATACTACCAAGGCTTAGATTGGAATGTCATTCCTGAGAGACACGTGCATAAACTCAGATATAAACAGCTTTAAAACTAAGGTTAACTTTATAAAGCCAACAAAGCCCCTTGGAAGAACTGGCGTGGTACCTTGCTTACAGGGTTCCCAGCAGCCTTACCAGGTGAGTAAAGAAGGTCACTTCCTGGCAGATGCAGGAACCTCAGAAAGTCTTGGAGACCTGAGAAGAGAAGAATTCACCCAAATCTACAGGTACTGCAGGCAAAACCTGATGGCAAGTCTGGCTTGGCTGTTTGACCTCAAGAGGCCTTTAAAGTTCAATCTGAAATGCCTTACAAAAAGTTCCAGCAAAGCACATTTAAAAGAGCCTATGTAATCAATTGCTCTTCTTGCTGTACTTATGCAAATAATTAAGCCAAGTGTTAATTATTTTCTTAACCTGGTTA